CTCCATAGCATTATCACCATTTCTTTATTGTCCATCTTCCTCCTCAAAATCTCTTTCAGAAGTTTTAATAGCTTGTTGAATATTTTTTTTATTGTTACCAAAAATTCAAATGAATTAATAAATAATCAAAATATAGAGATATCATTTTAGCTTTTGAGAATCCAACTTCCATAAGTATTTTTTTTTGATTTCTCATCATCAACCCATTAACTGTCTTTCCTTTTTAATGCATAGCCACATATAATTGGGACAACATAACTCTCTTTCCAACGCTGTTTTCCAACAATATAACAACCATTTGTAGATTATTAATGATATAAAGAAAAAATTTTTATTTTTTATAAATTAAACTTACCAATTTTTTTAACATGTAAATGGGAGGAGATAGATCCTCTTGTATGAAGAGATAGATTTAACAATCTATTGTTTGAATTAATTGTTGAAATCTTTTTGAATTTTGGGTCTTCAGTTATTCACTTTGGAACATAATTTCATTCTCATTGAGCTTTTTCTTTTCCTTACCAAAAATATCACTAAGTCGTCTAAAGCCAATAGCTTCAAAGACATGTCTAATCATCTTTGCTTCATTTTCCTCCTAATATAATCTCTAATCTCTACAAGCACCAATAACGTTAGAAGTTACATTAAAATAAAAAAAAGTTTCCAAGAATCCAAGACCTCTTTTCAAATTGCTTTGCCCGTAGGATCATTGGCTGAGCTGATCATGTATGATGACCTTTCTTCATTGAAGATAAATCCACTCAAGGACATGGAAAATATAAACAAGATCACAAAGACATTTCAACAAATCAAGAAAAGAAGTGTCAAAACATGTATCATTGAAGAACTATCAATACCAGATCTAGGATGTTTTAGATTCTTAGTCTCACCACAAAAGCAACATAAAGAAACAAGTTTGCAGAACAGTGCCCAATACTTACTAACTGAAGTAACAATGAAATGTGTACCACCAGATCTACTGATAATAAAAATCTAAGAGGCTCAATATCATAGCAGATAAATCTTTATGATTAAATATTTAAAGGACTTTGTAATCAATAAATGGATAAGCATCCAAACTTATATAATATTATTGAGTTCTTTGGAATGCTAACAGTATGAAAGTGACATAAGTCACCACAAAAGTCAATAAGCATTAGGTTATAGTCATAGTTCACATGGTTCATGTTCATACCCTTGGTAGACTCACTTGAACATAGAATGAGACTACATAACCTTAGCTTGTGCAACATATCAAAATCTGGTATTTACTAAAACCTTAAAAGAGAAAAGTCAATGAAAAAATTTCAGCTTCAGTATAGATAGCAGAACATAAGAACAGTATATCAACAACAAAATGTGATTTGGGTGATAAAAAAAAAACTTCCAAGCATAAATTTATTCTATTAATTGGATTTCTTATTTATGCAAATAGTCCATCAAGGACCTAAGTATCAATGACTCTACAATAATAATCAATGCCAAATATGAAAAATATAGGAAAACTACAGTATTCATAGACCACGAACAATATAATTTACTTTAGATTGCATGGACCCACCTTAATTCGAGTTCAGTTTTGGTGCTCATTCTAGATTTTTAATTTAGATAATTCAGATTCATCATTTTTATTATTATTTATTAAAATATAAAATTTTAATAAATCTAGATCGACTCATCCATTGTAAATATGGATAGTCAACTTATTAAAATTTTAAAAAAATAATATTGAATTGACCATTCAGATTAAATACATTATCCAAATTGATAATAAGTAAATTTATTAAATTCTTATGATTTTTTATAATAAATATAAAATAAAAATAAAAAATAAATTGTATAAAATTTGGACAGTTCAGGTTAAAAATCTAGACGGTTCGGTGCTCATCAACACACCAAGACTGAATCCGCTTAATTCTGGGGAAAAAAGAAGTTGGACTATATTCTAGCCCTTTACTATCATATGGCGTATAGGTACCCGCACCACACCAGGTACGGATGTTCTCAAGCAATGGAGATATAAAGTGAGGTGAGCAAAATCTGACCCAAAAAAAAAAAAAAAAGTGAGGTGAGCAAAATAAATAAAATATGGGACCTTTTCCATTATTTTCTCTCTTATCAGAGTACCTTTCTATTGCAAAGAGGGGATCCAAGCTGACCAAAGTTACCTTTTTTATTCTTGTGGCTAGAAGAGACTCTAAACAAGTTTTCATCTATAAAAAGAAAAAATAACAAGTTGATCATGAAAAAAATCAAATAATTAAGCACAAAAAGTTTGCTTGACCTATTTACAACTTTATTCATGATTGGTTTCTTCTGTTGCTAGATTGATGTTCTGATAGGTTGAAAGCTACTTTAAACAATAGAGATTTATGGATTAGAGAACGTGACTCTTCATTTAACATTATGCAATAAGCAACAGAGGGATCCATTAGAAGAAAAGCATTTCATCTTCAATAAAGATCTCATCCTCATCAAATACATTTGGACAAAAACTAGGACCAGCAGCTTTCAAGACCTTTGTGCGATAAGTGGCATACCATCACACCCATTGAGAGCTATAATTGATATTGTATTCTTCTCTATCCATGGTCACATAAGATTCTCCATGGGAGACCCATTGACAGTAATCAGGCACAAAACTATGCTTATAGAGATGAATTTTGATAATATCTATATCAAGAAAGTGTCTATTATAACATTTTGAACAAGGGCATCTTATCTTGCCATCAGAAACAAAGTTGTCTTAGTATATTGCAAATTCTAAAATCTCATCTACGCCATTTATAAATTCTTCAGTTATCCCTTTTCTACTTTGATCATTTCTATTATACATCCAAATTCTATCAACCCTCATACTCTCTACATTATAAAAAGAAATAAAAAGAGTGCTTAGAGAGATTTAGGTAAAAAAAATAAGGATAGTAAAAAAACACTAGCACAATAATAATACTAATAATTATAAGCCTCTAAATAACAACAAAATCTCTAATAATGAAACAATTGAACCTTGGTTCTGCACTTCTGACACTACATCAAGCACACACTTAAACGCTTTCTTTTGCGAATGCCTATCAGTAAAGAGTCATCAGGCAGCATCCATCTTCATTTTTTTTTTAATTTTTTTATGTTGAGTGTGAAATTAAATTGTTCTAATTTATGAGCATTGTTTCACGCCTATTCTTTATCTAACATTAATTTATTAAAGCTTGTCTACCACAGCAAACAGAGTACTATGCACATAATGATATATCATATTCAATTCTTATATATATATATATATATATATATTCACATCATATTGAATTCTATTACTTAGTCGTGTTTGTAATCAGGTTGTGATTCTATATAAAATTACAATATAAGACGTGAGTTGAACATTATTCATAATAGTGCATGAATAATAAGATTTGCATAGATTGTAATTTAATCTCTTAAACATTATAAAAATATTTATAATTGCAAATGTAATTCTAAGAACAGAGACAATGCTAACTTTGGTATGATAAAGAAATCTAACACTGAATCTACTGTTGGAGAATTCCAAAGAAAGCTAACAATGTAATTCTTCAACATTTTGAACTTTTGGGCTTTAATTAATGGTTAAGTCGAACATAGATTAAGCTAATTCACAAACCTTTACTCTCGAGACTAATTGGGTCAAGAGATTGTAAGAAAATTAACTAATATTAATTAATTATACATTAAGTCTGCTAGTCACTTGGTCTTTTTCAGTCAAACTAGTAACTTGAACTCAATCTCTGTTTTCTAAAATTGGGTTTTTTAGTTTTGTTGGAGGTTAGCAATGTGTGAACTTTAATAGCTCACAAATCATAAAATCTTAGAGAAGCTGATGGGGGAAGTGATGAACAAGTCTCACAAATTCCATAACTTGTTCGTGGAGGGAAAGGGAGACAAATTTCATTAACCAAAGTAGATAAGCATTTCTTTCAAGAAAGGATTGAAGAAGTGATTAAATACAGCAAGAGTGACAAACCATTTAGGCACCAAATCGATGGGTTTTCGAGGAGAAGGCAATGGTTAAGTTGAAGTGGTAACTTTTATATAGAACGCTGCGTTGGAGGAGGAATTGCTGGAGGATGAACCGAGAAGCACAGCAACAAAGCAGAAGGAGGAATAAAGGAGCATTGCCGCATCTCGGGAAGAAGATAGCGGCTCGTCACGAAGTGCATATATTGTCAATAAACTGCAGACAGCGGCTCGTGGAGGAAGAAGCGTAAATGAAATTGATAAAGTGCAAATGGTGGCTCGCGGAGGAAGAAGCGTTTACGAACTAATGAAGTGCAGATAGGTCAATGAAGTCAGGTTTAGTCTTGTGAAATTTGCTTTGATTTTTTTTTTTTTTTAGCTACTAATTTTGGAGGAAAGTCCTGAAAGAAAATGAGGGAGAATGAACGAGAGTTGGCGCGTAACACTGTAACACATATTTTACCCCAAAAAATATTTAAAAATAATGTTTATTTTAAAAAACTTAAAAATATTGAGAAAATATAATTTTTTTTAAATAGAAATAAAAAAAAGCACACAAATATCTCACTAATTATCTTAATTTAAATAGGCATAAAATCAACTTGCTATTTTTTTATTTTAGAGAGGCATAAATATGTCTTGCTATTTTTCTTACTAATTATCTTATTTAATAGATGAATTTATAATTTTTTGCTATTTTTCTTGCTAATTATATTTTAAAGAAGAATAAATATCTCTAGCAATTTTTCTCACTAATTAGTTTTAGAGAGGAATTACCTATCCATCATTATTTTTCTTGTTAATTTTAAGCTAAGCTACAAATTTAACATTCTTTACTAGTTTTCTTACTAATTTAGCATTTTAGAAAGGAATAAAAAATTCCTCATTAAATTTTTTCATTAATTTACATTTTTATAATAGTGCTACAAGTTAAAAGCTTCACTATAAGTAGTGAAGCTAAGTACATTATCATCTTGAGGAATGTCTAAGTAGGAACCTCCACTTTATGGATGGGTGAATTGAACGTTGACGGATATGCTATAGGTCAACTGGGACAAGCTGGTTGCGAAGGCACTCTCCGTCATGCTAAAGTGAATGGTTGCCAGGTTTCATGTGACTTAGGACGGCATGCTCCTATAGAAGCTGAACTATAGGGTGTATATTATGGTCTCAGAGTAGCAAACAACTCAAAGATTTCATAAGCTTGTGGTGGAAAGTGATATCTATGAGTGTCTGTAAAAGTCTACTGGATTTTTTGGATTCAGGTCAAATGGACTTGGCATAGAAGAATGGTGTGGAGCTTATTAATGGTGATATCGAGATCTTGGTTAAGCATTTACTCAAGGAGGGTAATAGCTGTGTTGAATGGCTTGCCAAGTAAAGTATCAATCATACTGATAATTGTGTGCTGTTAGATTTACCTTTAAAGAGATAGTGTCTCTAATGGTTTGAGATATATTGGGAATTTTTGCGCAGAGTTCTATATAACATGTCTTGTTTTGTTTGGGCTATTTGTTTACCAGAAAAAAAAAAAAAAATACCACTATGGGTATAGTTCTGAAACGACATGGCATAGACTTCGCAGCCTTCTTAACTAGCTGCTGCATAAACTAGAATCTAACCAACCAAAAACCAACATTAAACATGTAGATTGAGGCATAACAATACACCTCATTATTGAAAGATAAAACGAAACAAAACAAAAGTATTGATTGAAGTAACATGAAAGCAGACGTGCTATTTTTGTTTGGAAGCAACATGAAACTCATCCCTCTTGACCAAAAATAATATAGCAATAGAAAAGTCTGCAGGTAGTTTTCAAAACATATACCTTATTCCAATTTTAGGACAAAATTTGTGATAAGTAGACGGTATGAAATGTGCATGGTATGCTTTTTGCCTATGGTCATCAGACACTGACTCTGGTATGTATAGTGTTTGGGGAGAGGACCATACTGAAGACAATTTGAACAAGTTGGTCAATATCTTCCATTATGAAAGAAAACTCCAGCATATCTCCAGTGAACAATTGAAGCTCATGAAACAGAGAGCTCAAAGAATACTCAAAGAAACTTTGAAACTAGTCAAATTTAATGAAAGGACCTAAGTGATCCCAATGAAAGTAAAAATATACTCATTATAATATTCTATTATGGCAAACCAAAGACTTGAATTCAAAACATAGAAGTGGTCGAAATGAACTTTGGAGATAGGCAAATTAGGTCTCCAAGCAAGAACAGAGAGAGTGAAACCTTGAAGAAGCTAAGTCTCATAACATATATAGAATAAACTTCAAATCCTCCTCATTTCGAAAATATATAACAAAATAATTCTATTGTTGGTGGATGACACGAACATCATCACATCACACAAATGCCTATAAGTATCGATTAATGATTGAAGCTTTGAAGCAAGGAGGATTTTTTTGTTTATCTTTTATGACCTTGCTAAATTGTTAAAATTTTTGTATAGTGCTAAACTGATTATTTACTTATATTAACTGTATAAATTAGTAGTTGTATATTTATTACTATGTTTGATTTACTAAAAAAACTAATTTTTATTAACTGTACAAATTAGTTGTATATTTATTAATCTTGTTAATTCTAAGAAAAAACTAAATTAAATATTGTGTATATCAGCTTTTATTTAAAATATGGCTCCAAATTTTTGAAAAAAAACTACAAATTAAATAAAAATATATGTATAAATAATAATTTAATATAGGGTAAGTTTTAAAATATAAATTATTATTAATAAATTATTTCCTCATGAAGTGAATAGGTAATATATTTATTGATGATTTTATATATGAAAAGCATCAATAATAATCAGTTTTACTTTTGCATGGCTTATCGGACTCTCTTTATCCAACTTATTTCACGGGGGGATGTTGAATGACTTGTAATGGAAATAATAGTTAAAAAATTGTAACAATAATAATGTACAATGGCTTCGATTTTGGGAAGAGGACAAAATAAAGAAAAGACAAATAAATTACTGTAGTTGAAGAACTGTTACTAAAGATATATTGATATTGATTTTTTTATGGATTATATTATTTTTTATGTCTATCATGCATGTTTTTTATGATTTTAATTTTTTTAATACATTTAAATATTTAAAATTAATTTTTTACTTCATATCAAGTAAAAACAATGAATAATTATTAATAATTACAATTATTATTTTAAATTTTAACAATTTTTTATAAAAAATTCATTTTAAATAATATAATTACATTTTTTGTTTGCTAATAAATGTATTTTCATATTTTAAAATTATTTTTAAAATAAATTTTGGGCATCAGGCCAAAACCTGGCCCAAACCTTTGAATAGCTTGATATCCGAATATGTATGTAGGATCGACCATCGGATTATGATGGAGCCTAACTCGACTTATACCAGTGATGCAGGAGATCAAATAAATGGTTTTGATTGATTATATGTATCATTTGATGAGATTTTGGTTTTCTTTGAAGTCTATTAGTGGCAGTAAATTGAGTGCAGTCAGAGAAACACCACACAACATCACAAACCATCTAAGCGCAAAGTTGCCTTAATAATATATAGACATACATAAATAACTAAAAATATATTTGAAAAAAGGAGATTGTAGGTGTATCTATATATCCTAAACTCAACTGAAAGATAGGATAAATATCAACAATAATAAATAAACCACTAATTTTACTAGGAACACTTGGTTTATTTGGTCAAGGAGTTAAATTAGCTTAACTTGGAATCTCAAAGTTTGAGTCTTGACATCACCGAAGTACCAGAAAGCCATCTTCAATAATAATGATCCCATGCAGTGGAGACTCAGATTAGTCTAAATAGAAATAGGTAATATCTTCAAATCCTAAAATAGTGACAACCAAAGGCGTAGCTAGGACTCTAAGTTAGGAGTGCAAAATAATTTAATAAAAATTATATTTTTTAAAAATAATAATTATACTAGGATTAAAATTAATAACATAAATAGTTTTATCATTATTTTTATTTTAAAAAATTATATTAAACACATTAATATGATCTTTTATTATAAATACGCTCTTCATATTTTATTTAAATTATTAAAATATTATATATTTAATAAGTTTTAGTCTAAATATTTTTTATTTAATTCAAAGAGTGTAAATTTATAAATTTTATACACCTTACTTAAAATTTTTTCAAAATGAGGAGGCACATTTGCACCCTATCAACCCAATGTGGCTTTGCCAAAGCATTGCTCAACACTTTGGCTCACTGCAAAGCTACACTTACACACACTCATTTGCATTTTGAAATCTTCAATTTTTTTTTAAGTGAATTGTCAACATTGATATTGATCATGGTATTATTATTTAAGTTAGATTTTCAACGATGACTCTAAAAAATTACTATCAAAAGTTATCACTAAAAGTCTTTTTTTAGTGAATCAATACATTTTAAAAATAAAAATGATCCACTAAATGAGATAACTGAGACTTAATAATTTAATTAATAATTAATAAATTGATGAATTTTTTTAGCTTAATTTTCCCTATTACATTTTAAAAACACAATTTGGCTATTAAATTTTTTTTTTTTGCGTCTTTTTAAAGTTAAATTAGATACCATCAATATAATTGGTGGAGATCGTATATGAAAAAAATGGGGTTTATTTATAGTCATTTCATGGAGATTTTCTTTTATACTATTTTAATTACATTTTTCATTGTGTATTTTTTTTTTTTAGTTTTGTTTTAGGATTTTGGGGATAGTTTGGTCTTTTTAACGAAAAAGATGATCAAGATGAATTCGTGGGCTTCCTTTTGTCGGCCACTTCCACACTGCCCTTTTCCTCTTCTGCTTTCGTCTTATCTATTCTCTATCCTGATCTCCTTCTTGTCATGAGACTTAAATTTCTTCATGTAATCAGCTCCAAGCATCGATTTGATGATTGAATACTCTCGATCGGCCATGGAGCTTAACGGAGTAGCTTGGTTTGATGCTTAACTTCGATTTCTTCCCTCTTTAATTTTCTGGTTTTATTCATGCTCTTTCATTTATACTGATGATAATTGATTGATCTAAAAAAAAAAAACACACACACACACACACGCACACAGAGCTAGTTCTTGTGATTGATTAATTGCATATAGCTTTGGGCTGGGATTGATCTGAGAAGTTAGCTTGTGTATTAATCATTGCACTCTTTTAGTGTTTTTGAGTAGCTTAACAATTTAGGTGACTGGTTAGAGAAATTTTCTGTCCAGAAAATTGTTTAGGTTGAATTAGCCATCAAATTAGTAATGAGTGGTTTGTTGATTTACAGATAATTTAAATGTGATTGTCAGATGCTTGAATTTTTAGTTATGTAATCTCTCCGATCCTATTTACAAGGGAAGGAGAAAAAGTTCTTTTTTTTTTTTTAATTACATTACCAAAATGAAGGATGTCTTGCATCGGATTCTAAGCCATGGAAAAAGGAGCACAGTAGTTTTCTTTAGAGACAATGAGAGAGGGGGGAGAGGGAGAAGGAGAGAGACAGAGGTAGAAAATGACAAGGAAAGAGGAGAGAGAGAAACCACTATGATAACACTTAAAAGTTGATTGTTTCTAGACCGTTTATTAGATCTAATTTTGCTAGTTCAAATTTACAGTTTTTAAACCAATACTTTTTAAATAAAAAATTATTTTTTAAAAAACTAAATGTTAAGATATTGTTTTTATTTTAGATTTTGTATCCATTAAGATATTTTTTTAATAAAATTCAATTAAACAATTATAAATTTGTGCTATCCATATTATATTTAAATGGTTTAGAAATAATAAACTCTTAGTGCTTATTTACATGATAAATATTGAGACTGGTTTCTTGAGAAAAGGACAGAGAGAAGGATGGCTGGGAAGGAGGAAAAAATGACTTGGACATATAACCACATGTGTGCAAGAATTAAATATCTATGTGTGCGTGCCTTGATATATTAATATACGTACATGAAACTTGATATATTATCCTAGCAATAAAGTAATCACTTTGTAGGACTTGGCTTCCCTCCTATGAGGAAAGTGTCCGTTAAGTGGGGAGAAATTTGAACAATTCATATTTAATTTAAATAGTTAAAATTTAATATTTTTATTTTTATTTTATATTTATTAAAATAACATATAAAATATAAAATTTTTAATAAATTTGTTTACTATTTTGAATAATCCAAATTTAAAATATATAGTCCAAATTTAATATTAAAATTTTATTGTTTTTATAAATTGATCATCCAGCAAAAGTTTAAATAGTACATGTTTAATATTAATTTTTTTAAAAAATTTCACATTAAGTTTGAATTATTTATATTAAATTTGGATTATACGTCAAATTACTGAAATAATTTATAAATTTTTTTTATAATTTATATAATTTTTTATTTTAAAAATATAAAATTAAAATAAAACCACTACATTTGGATCATCTACATTAAATCCAGATGTTTCAGATTTCTCCTCAGTCAAAGAACCCATAGCGGAGGCTACCCTCCAGGGAAAGCCAAGTCCCATTTTGTATGGAGAAATGGGAGGTTCAATCCTCTACTGGTTTAGCCCCTTTTGCTTAAAAAAAAAATGTTTATATAATATGTAATAAATGCATTAATATACGCACACCCGCAAGATAATAGGATGAGCGCATGTGACCATAAGAGTATAAAAAATTTAAAACAGAACATATATATAAACATAGATCTTTATTATTCTAAAGGAAAAAGTAAAAAGTGCTTAATATGGAAAGTCTGAGAGGAGAGAAGAAGGACAATTTTACAAGAAGGGAAGATGATAGTTTTACAAGGAAGAGAGGTAATAAAATTATTCGATGTCTGTAAGAAGAGAATTCTATTACTTTTATTGACTTTAGAACTACTCTGTTAACTTCTTCTAACTCTAATTAATTTGTTTTTGACAGTCCTTTAATTTTAACTTTGGCTTTACGTTTTTCTTCTTTTCTTCATGTGGTTCACTTTTTCTTTTTTTCCTTTTTTTTTTTTTGACTTCAGACTATTTTGCACCTTTATTTGTCTTCTTTCCTTTTTTTTCTTTTAATTATTTTGCACCTTTATCAGTCATATCTTTATTTTTTTTCTCTTCTTTTTCTTTTGTCACTTCCCTCTCTCTTTTTTTCATACTTGCTGTCCAATTTTTATTATTGACATTGATTGTCTTCACTTCTGTCCGTCGGCAATTAATTGATATTATTCAAATCAGCACCGAGTATGTCTTTTTTGTCTATTTCTTGAGTAGAGGACCCCACATTAGAAGTTGCTTGTGATTCTTGAGAGATAGCATCACAAGCAGCTTTTGATGTGGGGTCCTCTACTTAAGAAATAAACAATGAAGAAATATTTGGCATTAATTTTGAAGAATATCAATTAGTTCCTGATAGACAAAAATAAAGATAGTTGATGTCAATAATAAAAATTGGATAGCAAGTATGAAAAGAAAAGGAAGGAAGTGACAAAAGAAAATGAAGAAAAGAAAAGTAAAGATATGGCTGACAAAGATGCAAAATAGTTAAAAGAAAAAAAGAAAAAAAAAAGACAAACAAAGGTGCAAAATGATCAAAAGAGAAAAAGAAAAAAGACAAAGACAAGTGAAACACATGAAAAAAAGAAGAATAAGCTAAAGCCAAAGGTCAAAAGGGTTTCCGAAAGCAAATTAATTAGAGTTAGAAGAAGCTAACTAGAGTTGTCTTGAAGTTTATAAAAGAAGCAGACTTCTCCTCTTATAGACATTGAATAATTTTATCTCCTCTCCCTTCCTTTAAACTTTCCTTTGTAAGCACTTTGCTCTTTTTCTTTATAATAATAAAGACAAATGTTTATAACTATATTCTATTTTAAATTTTTTGTACTTTTGATAGTCACATGTTTGTTAGTCACATGCATTGATCCTATTATCCCAATTATATCAAAGCCAATGGTTTTTTTTTTCTATACTTGTTTATTATTTTGTTTAAACTATTTTTATTTCTAGACTATTATATTTTATTCTTCTATGGTGGAAATGTTGGTAAGTCTGTGAGCCCAAACTTGACGATGTTAATAACTCTATTGGATTAGACAGAGGTGTTTCCGGTAAACCTAGGAAGAACAATAATAGTAGAAAATAACATAGTATAAATAGAAAAATGAGCTGGTTCATTAAAATTTTAGGATTTGAATCCAGAAAAGAAGATAACATGAGCCTTAAGTGTCATAATCTACAATCAAATAAGAATAGTGAACCTGAAAAAGAAATAAAAAAGGTAATAAAAAATCAAGTTTCTATAGAAACAGAAATAACTTCGGTAGACTTACAAGATAAGTTAACCAATTGGTCTATGCCGACCTTTAAGAAAGAAGAAGTTTATAAAAAAAAATTTGATTTTTCTTATATAACGCAATCTATAGAAAGAGAAATAAGAATTAATAAAGAGATATTGTGTATTCATATGATTCCTAAATAAATTATAGGAAAATATAGAGAAAAATATAACTGGATGCATATAGGTATGATTCAAGTTGCAAATAACTTTAGATTAAGTTTAGACGAACCCATATTATATGTTGAAGAGATACAAGACAAGAAAAAGATTTTCAAAAGTTCTTTATAGTAATTATACAGTCAAATTTATACGAAGGACCACTCTATTTTAATTGTTTCCCAAATCATGTAACTAGAATAAAAGATAAAGATTGTAGAGAAATTTTAATAATGGAAATAGGTAGTCAAGACTCTTAAAAAAAAAAAAAGAGTCATGTACATGGTTGTACAATATAGGATAATGTTCAAAATACAAAAAACACATCAAAATTTTAAAGCCATAAAAGAATCTCCAAAAGGAGAATAGAAATAGGAGGTCCCTCCAAAACTTCAGTCATAATCCCAAAAGAATAAAATACAGCGCAATACAATTACTCACAAGTTGAACTTTCCCCAAATTAGCCAAACCAGAACACTAGAGCAAGGAAAATTAAAAGAAATAATAAGAACATAGGAAAATTAAAAGAAATAATAAGAACATAGGAAACTTAAAAGAAATAATAATAACATTGGAAGGAGATATTACATATGAAATATTAAATAAATCAGCCTCTTATATAATAAGGGAAAAAACACTTTTACTAATACCAGAACCAAGATAAACCATAGATAATTCAAAATTTTTTAATAAAAGTATATTATAAAACAGCAAAGATGTTTTTACAGAAAGATGTTAAAAATTTAATTTTAAAACAAATTTTTGTCAGGTAGCAAGTCATATTATCTTGTTTTGATTTTGAAATACAATTTATAAAAGAAAAAAAAATCTTCCAACTTTTTGACGAGAATTTTTACCGGAAATTTTTTTAAAAAATGAGTAAAGCTACCATCTCAACAGATTTTATATATATATATATATATAATGGAAAAATTGAGCCAAATACTACAAATAAAATAATATACGCCACAGTGCTGTGTAGACTCAACAATTCCCAAATGCTATAAACATTCTAATTTCAAATTTTCTTTTATTTTTAAAATAAATATAAATTATCCTAAAAATCCTCTCTCCTTTTAAATTTCCATTTCAATCAACTTAATTATATATATCATAATAAAAATGATCTATAATATAATAAAATAAATATAAGCAAGTTTAATTAATATAATAAAATATCTTATAAAACCAGCTTTGCCTCTGTACAGCATTTTTTGAGCAGTAACATAGAATTTCCCATTTCTACTAAAAAAAAAATTAACATATCTTTTATTTATCAAACTTACAAGTTAAAAAATATCTTACAATATATACACGCATTACACATGCATATATCATTAATCCATAAGAATGCAATTTAAAATTCCACAATTGTTTGTTAGAATCGAGAAGTCATGGGATTTAAAACTTCTCAATTTTCATGAAAAATTTCGCAAGTTCGATAAGAGAAAAACTAAAAGTTCAAACTCTTCAATTGTTTGAATTCTTATCACTTTTGGATAATCTAAAAGTTCAAACTCTTCAATCACCCAAAAAAAAAAAAAACAGAGAGAAAAACTCAATTTCATCGTCCTTTTAATTTCAAATGTAGACAGTTATTTTTCCCGTTTGTAATGCGTGTATAACTGTATATATAGACATTATCGTATTGATCTATTTAAAGCAATTGTAGAGAAATATCACTCACAGCCCCATGGAAGACGTTCGAGTGATCTCCACAACTACGATCCGATCACGAAGCCACCTTATTAATGATGATTCACATGAACAAATCGAGCTCAATCCATGGGATCTTCATTTTCTACTTCTCGGATATGGTCAAAAGGGACTACTTTTTCATAAGCCCACAAATCACAATGTCATCGTCTTCAACACACACACACAGTACAGATAGTGATCCAACATCTTAAGAACTCGCTTTCTTCCACGCTCGACTTCTTCCGGCCTCTTGCCGGCCGCCTTGAGGTTGTTCCCCAAGACGGCAACTATGATGCCTTTTCCGTCTTCATCACTTGCAACGACGCCGGAGCAAGCTTTGTTCATGCCATTGCAGAGAACACTACAATTGCCGACATCCTTGAACCCACTTATGTTCCTCCAATTGTTGATTCCTTCTTCCCACTTAGCAAATCCAAGAACTTGGAAGGAACTCGAATCCCATTGACGGCGGTTCAAGTTACAGAGCTTGTGGATGGCATCTTCATCGCTTTATCAACAAATCATTGTCTTGCTGGTGTGAAGCCATTCTGGTATTTTTGGAATACCTGGGCAGAGATCTCTCGATATGGTTTAAACCATACAAGGTCGAATTCAAATCTCGCTTCATTTCAACGGTGGTTCCCTCATGACAATAATAAACGACCCGTACAAATCCCATTCAGAGAGATAACACGGAATTTTCTTGATGAATCAGATGATTCTGATCTTCTGCTGCCTCCTATTTCTAAGAGGATCTTTCACTTGAAAAGAGAAAAAATTGATGAACTCAAAGCAAAAGCTAACTCAGAGGTAGAGGATGGTGGCTTCATCAACAAAATCTCCTCTTTACAAGCTGTTATCAGCCATGTTTGGAGATCTGTGATCAGAAACCAACAACATCGTCTTGATCCAGAAGAAGAGGTCATCTACAGATTCCACATAGCTGCTGGACCCAGAATTTCTCACCCACCTATACCAGACAACTACTTTGGAATCACTGCTCAATTTGCTAGGGTGATTATGATAGAAGACGGAGGCCATGGGAAGTTCGCTTTGGAGATGAATAAGATGATATCCTCATACACAGAAGAAAAGATCAAGAGGGACTTTTAAGCTTGGGTACAAAATCCAACAATGCATTTACAGAGTGGCCCAATAGGGAAGGTTATGGGAACCGGAAGCTCTCCGAGGAGCAACTATTATACCTTTGACTTTGGTTGGGGAAGACCGGTGGTGGCTCTCAACGGCCCCGCCGATAGAAAGATGTGGAACTTGGCAGTTGATGCCGGAGAAGAAGAAGGTAGCTTCGACGTTGAGCTATGCTGTTCCTATGAGATACTTGAAGCAGTATCAAAAGACCTTAAGTTCATGCATGGGGTGTCACCGCCGCCCCATAAACTAACTAGCTTTATGCAATGCTTTTTTTTTTTTTTTTAATCAAGATATCCCTGGGTAATCATGAGATCAATTCATCAAGGAATCTGAATTGATATCCTCTCTCAAATAATATTTTTTCATATATACCTCCAAAATTTGAACCTTAGAATAATATTTAAAGAGTCCGGATATCGTTTATAAAAATTTTCTTATAAGTAAATACTATTATCATTTTTGCTCGTTTTGTTATGTCAAATGTTTATGCATGCTATCGTTTTATTATGTACAAAATTTGCATGCAAATTTATACTTACTTTGAAGTCTCACATTTTCTGTTGAAATGATCAATTATTGTCATGCTTAATGATGGAGTTGTTTAACAATTACCTAGCAATAATTGACAGTAAGGAACGTAAAATTTCAGAGTAATTTTATGATTGCATGCAACTTTTATGTGGATTTGAGAATAACAAAACATAAAATTTCAGAGTAATTTTATGATTGCATGCAACTTTTATGTAGATTTGAGAATAACAATAACAATTATCAAGCGATAATTTATGTATTTATGCAACTTTATATGAAATTTGAGAATAATTTTTCTTAAAATTTTCAAGGACACACATAGTGACAGATTTAGGGGGGAAGCACATGTGGCAAAATTTTTGCACAATCACTTGACTTTAACTTATAAAAAATGCTCCAATTAATGTTTTCCCCCAACTATTATGTAATTTTGTAGCCCCACCATTGTTTCTAGATCCGTCCCCAGACACACATGCTAGCTTTCAACTTTTTTTTTTTTGGAGAAAAATTATACATAAATTTCACAAAAAGGAATTTATTATAAAAAAAGGTCTTATAAAATTTATAAAGTACTCCCAAATTTTAAAAGTAGGCAAAAGTGTTTTGTAAATTTTATGAAATCTCTTGATAATAAATTTTTTTTTATAAAACTTAGGTATAATTTTTATTTTATTTTTTATTTTTCAATTTTTTTATTTTTATTTTGATTCTTTTGCAGTACGTAAAGCAGGCTTGATGCTAGTTTTTACTTTAAGAGGGCAAATATCCCCACAAGACATGATGTAGCTGCAGGTCCACCCTTGCATACTTGCAAAAAACTTTTGCGCCGTCTTCCACTTCTTGGGGTCGCTTGTCGAGGAAACTTTCAGAAACTTGCTTGTAATTCATTTACACAGCATAAATTATTGCAAACCGACAGATTGACGAGACAAATTAATTATAAATCATCCGCTAATTGAAATAATTTGGAATTTATTTTTGTTATAAATTGATGGATATTTTTTTTTTGCTTAATTTTCCTTTTTTGTCGCAATTTGGCCATTACATTTTATTTCATATTTATTTTGTGCAGATTTTTGGAGTTAAAATAAAGAACATTGGTGGAGATCTTATATGCAAAAACTTGTGAGGGTTATTTCATGGAGATTTTGTTTTATATTTTTCTTTGGCTATTTCTATAGTTTTATTTTCATGGCTTTTTTTTTTATTGCATATCTTAAATTGTTAGTTGCTTGAATTGTGTGTTTTGTACCTTGTTACTTGCAAACTTGTTACTTGCAAACTAATTGTCTACATATAATTGATACCTTGTCTATTTTGTGTATTGAATTACCTAGTTCTAGTGATTTAATCATTGACTCTTTGGTTATATTGCAAATCCTAAGAAATTGTTTAATTCTGCACTACTACGCGACATCATTGGCCGTCTTCTGTTTTGGAAAAGGTTGCGTTAGTATACGTCCGTGCCTTTTGGTTTTCTATCCTTAATTAATGTTGTCTTAGCTTATAACCTGGACTGCACAAAATATTATTAGTATAATAATTAACTGGATATAAAATACATATTTTATTAGTTTAATAAGATAATATCGTGGAAAAAATTTATCAGGAATCCTTAGAGTGTTTTTCAATTTTAAATTAGATCTTATAGTTTATTTTATTTTAATCAAGCCCTTATAAAAATTTTTTTCAATAGATATATTAATCCTTGAAAGTTAAAATTCTTAATGAATGATTAACTTTTCCAAAACAAAAATACTCTTGAAGTTTATGGAAAATATGATTTAATACAATGTTTACATTTTTATTAATTTTTTTATGAAAATTTTATATGCATATAAATTAGGATTAAAGGTCATTTTATTCCTCAAATTTACTTGAAGGGGCACCTTGAACTCAAATAAGGATATGTTATGTCCCTCAAAGCAAGAAATTCTCTCCCTTGTTACCCCTGGTATTAACTCGCCATGTTTTCACTATCAGTGAGCCTCATATTGTATTTTTTTAATATTTTCTTATTATAAAATATTGGATTAAAAGTTATTTTTACTTCTCAACTTTTACTTGAAGGATCAATGGGCACCATGAACTCAAATATTTTATAATAAAAGATATTACAAAAATGTAATATGTGGCCCATTAATGATGAAAAGACTGTGAAAAAAATGTTAGGATAATGTGGGAGAGAATTTTTAAAATTGAGAGATAAAATTAACCCTTATTTGAGTTCAGGGTGTCCATTAACCCTTCAGGTAAAATCAAATGGCAAAAATAACCCTTAACCCTAAAATTATTTAGAAGACAACCTAATTATTTAAAATTTTAGTTATAAAAAGTATGTAATTAATTTTGAAGTTACATAACAATTTAGTAAAAGTATAAAAATTCTAAATTTCATTTTTAAATAAAAAATTTAAATAATTATTTTTTGTGCTAATCGTTATTATTTTTTTTAAAATATTAAACTCAATATGTCCATATTTAAAAATATTTTGTCAATATTTAAAATTTCAGTAAAAAAATTTTTGTATTGAAACTATAAGTATTAAGGTTAAATGATTGAAAATATATTTTATAAAATTAAAGGATTAAAGTAAAACTTATATGAAATTAAAACTTATATGAAATTAAAAGAATAAAAATATACTTTATCGGTAAATCAAATGATTCAAACTATAATTAAATGCTTGACTAAAAGAAAATAAACTATAAATATTCAATTTAAAATTGAGGAGAATTATAACACCTGTTTATTATTTTCCCTTGTTATTAATCAATGATTAACATCAACTCTTTACAAACAAAGAAAGAATTATACTTCACGGCAATGTGATTGAACTAATTGTTTTTTTATAATAAAAACTGAAATCATGCTGATTCAACTCGTTGTTATAAATTATAAACAACTAAACCGTACAGTGTACAAGAGAAAAATTTTATATATATCACATTCCAACAAATTCAAAATCATTATTTAATGACTTTTGCAATGTCTTTTCTTGTCTTTAACACAAACTTTACAGCATTTCAGCAAACAAATCAGCTTTAATGAGATTACTTTTTCTCCGACATACTTTGATCCAATAAAACATTTTGGGAGAATGATAAGAATGATAAATAAAAACTTTGTAAAAATATTAACATCAAATTGGAATTTTTCAAAGCTAACGTTTTGCAAATTTCAGTAATACTTTTATCATGTTGTAGTAATAAAATTCTTAATTTGACATTACAACATTCTTACTTGTCATTCTTGCTGGTGAAATCTAATCTGAGTCGTGCCTAAGGACACTATCCTTAAGAGCTATTCCGCTACACCGGATTGATCGCGTGGCAGCTCCCCAAGATTAAACAGACTCTTCCTACTAAAAGTAGGGACACAGAACAATCGAAATTTACAAAATATACTCAGGTAACTACACAATGAACTAATCCGATAGAAGAAGAGAGAAAGGCTGAGAGTATCAAGGCTCGCTCTAAACCTGTGGCAAGCATTGCCTTTTATAGGCAGATCTCATAATGCTAGGCAATAAAATCACCTTAATCACAATTAAAAAACAGTTTCAAATAATAATGATGTTTAAATTACATGTTATAAAATAATGAATAGACTTAAATAATAATTAATATTATTAATTTATAATAATTCCTTCTGAAATACTCAAAAATATTTATAATATCCAACAATCCCCTACATATTTCAAAAGGAAGGAATTTTTTTTTTGAAAAACTATCTTATATAAATAATTTTGTATCTCCAAAAAATAGTTTCCAAAAGTTTGGAAAATTGTCCAAAATTACATCTAACTTATTGGCAATTGTATGCAAGAGCCCATTTCTCCTCTAAGCCCATTTATTAGCCTAAGTTCACATCTTAGTATCTATAAACTAAGGCCTTCATTCATTTGAACAACATGGGACTTTCCTTTTTGACACAATAGTAACAATCCCCCACATGTGTCAAAAGGACCACTATCATCTGAGTTATTTTCACGGAAGATAATCACTTCAAATTTGGTATCTTTCGACTTGAACTAAACTTAGACCAATAAAACTTAACATACAAAAAAGTTGGTGTAACTTTGTTATTGAACCAATAGATCTTAGTTGTGTGCTAGAGGTCTTATTAGTCAGATTATACCCCCACAATTTCCGTTGTTAAAACGGTTTTGCACGTTATCGGCCATGCGCGTGCCTGATTTTAACAAATGCTCTAGAGATTTTGCTACAATTTTATAGGAGCGGTCCCACTCTACATTTGTATAGGTGTTTTCATTAAGTGCATCTGCAATGGATACACCATCTATAAGGACTATGAAAAACATTAAGAGTTTTTGCTCAGCCTCCGATCAATGCATTTGAGCACTTTCTCAAGCCATAGGAAGGGACAAAAATTTAGTACTAGCAGAACTAACAAGTGACTTGTTCTTACCCATTGAACCTTCTTCATAGGATCTCCAATCACAAAGGTTGGGTTGCTACCACTGTTAATTTCAAACAGGCTTAAGTTCTATTCCCCTCGACATTAAAATTCTTCCCTAGGGGCTAGTTAACGAATCCGTCTGATTTATATTTGATCTTATATAATCGATTGAGATAACTTCCTCTTTTAGCATGCTTAATTATATCTCAAACGATAGTTACCTATGCCATTATTCTCTTTGCAATGACTATCACCATTTGGCCCTTGTTTTTTTTGCAATGACTATCGCCATTTGCTAATTACACAAATCATCGACATAGCTTGTGTCGGTTTTACTCATAGTAAAATATTCATTGAGAAGTTTCTTAACTACTCAACCTCATTATTAGCTAACTTTAGAGTAATGAACTCTGGCTCAAATAATATTTTATTTGGCTATTGATAGATTTTTCTTCATCTGAATATAAAATTCAATTAACATCATTGTATTATCTTAATACAATGAAAATCTATTATACATGATACCACCATTTATGGTATCCCTCAAACACTCATTTGTCTCATGCTCTTATGAGACTTAATCTCCATGCAACGTATGTTATGAAATTAACACTTATTAATGCAACAAACTTTCACAACTTTGTTCATACACAAATTGAGCAACAAAAATATATCATTTTTTTAAATGACAAATCAATCTCATAAGAATTCATTGACGCTAAGTGTCGATTTTATACAACAAAATAATTGCTTAGATGATCTCTAGCAACTTAGCCTCCAATCCAATTTCAAATTAATTAGCTTGGACTCCATTATGGTTCTATTATTATATTTTGATTTCATCACTACTGAGAATGGATAATCACTAGTATATTTTCTTACACAAATTTATAATTCAATAAATATCCACGTATTTTATACAGTGGGAATCCACTATTTTTAATTCCATAATTTAAGAAATTAGTTATCTCATGGGATCATAACACTTGTAAATAAATCATTATTCATAACAGTGAATATTTATGTCAAAGTAATTAAATAGGTCATGCACCTATTTTTTTTTTAAAATACATTTATCTTCATTAGATAAATGATTAAATTCATGCTACTATCATAATGCTTGTTGTAGACCACACAAAGTGTTAAATCACAATTTTTGCATTTACGCAATGAGGATAACAATATGGTACAACAGAATTTTAAAATAAAGCAAAATAATTTTTGCTAAACACCCCCACACTTGAAAATATTTTAATCATATGTAAAATATTTTCTTACCAAATTAATAATAGTTCTAATCAAATTAGAATCTCTTCACGTAATCTCCTCCCATTCCAATTAAATTAAAATTTCTTATAATTTAAAATCTACCATAAACATATCAACATGCACACCCCGTACAGCCCCACATTAGTTTTCTCACTAACTCAAATTCTACCATTTCAAATATTTGTCATGTCAGAGCATATATTAATACCTTAAACAAAGCAATTACATTAATCACAATCATGACACTTATGGGGTGATATTTTCTTCTCACTTCATGTGCCTATTGTCATCATAAATGAAAATAGATTTACCGCACAAAAGCATCAAATCATTGATATTTCTCAAATTAAAATATTTATAATATAATAACTATCATTACCCATTCCAATGATATTTTGCCACCAAAACGCCAACGTTATAATATAAGAACCCCGTCGGATAAATCTAGGCAATAACAGATAATGGCAAAATTTATTAGACTTAAATCCCATTAAGATAAATGAATATGTGATTAGAAACGAGAGAGCCAACGTTACTACTAACCCCAATGGTGTCATAATGCAGTTAAGCTACCAACAATAAACCTCTTGCATTTGGCTCTCTTATCTATATTAAAATGAGTGCAAGCAAATCGATTTTACAATAAATAATCTCATAAATATAAAATAAAGGAATTCACATGTATATATGTATATAAAGACATCTTCTCTTATATTCATGCAAGAACGCTCTAAACATATTAATGTAATTTTAAAAGACATTGAAAACTACTCATCAAATCCCAATGTTTTCACACAACTGATATGCAACTGACTTCAATATAACAAATTTTCATCATCACAATTTACTAACCATAGCTAAGTAAATAACTTTCACTTTGCTAAATGATTTTGTTCATATTGACCTAAACTCGTTACAAATGTTGAATAGGTCAAGTAACAAATATTCAATAACGACCCTTAAACTTAGTCCTTAAATTACAGCTTAGTCATCACAATGATCTACAGTTTGGCCACCTGCTGGAAAAATTCTAGCGACATGCTTTAATTCTTATCATATGTTATAGCCTAATAAATCATGTCCCAATTTATGACCATTTCCAACTACTAAAATAGCATTATAAACAGCAATTTCAAATGCAAAAAGATATAGATACCTGAAACAGAATAAGGCCTCAGATTTGCACAGATGGAAGAATCACAATGGAGCGATTATATTCTGTCCAGCTATGCATTCCAAGCTATGGTGGGGTTGAAGCATAGAACATCTCTTTGACAGCTTTTAGCGACACAGACGTTCATGCCTTGCCTTATTTTCTCAAATTATGAAGATTGTGATGTATAATTATATAATGTTGATATGTCATTGTTTGATTCTTGTGGGAAGTGTTGGGAGGCTTCTTGTTGTTGTATTTTTTTGTGTTATGTGACACACCCCTATTAGAGGTCTAATAAGTGGCTTATAAGGATTCGAACTAGTCTACCTTTTGCCATGTGATTTAGCACTGAATGAGGGCTACAGCTCGAGGTTAATAGAGAAAAATAAGGATGACTGTTTGTCATGCATTATAATATTATTAGTACTTTTTTTGAAATTATATGATTGTTATTTTTAACTTAACAAGCACACATTTAACTATTTGTATATATTATCATGAGGTGGCATTGATACTAGAACTTTTGAGTCTCATTATGTAGTTAACAATTTTTAGAAGAAGAGTAGCATTTGGTAAAGCCCCTGAGGCTTAGTGGTGTGAAACCACTTCCTCTCTCTGGGTTTGGATTTATGATTTTCATAATGCATTATTGCCAATGTTAAGGCTTCTATTTATTGAACATATGGATTTATGATTGTGACGTGCCTCTTTAAATAGTTCCTACATGTTATATGTTTTGAGATGACTGTAATAGAAATATGTTTATATTCATTGAGGCATTGATGGTACTTGATAAATGTTGGATGTTTAAAAGGGGAAAAAAAAGGTATGATGATTGGGCCATGTGTTTTTGGCTTGTTTGTTGAATTCGACTAATTGGTTTATCTATGGATGTTGGCTATGGTTTGTAATTGTAGGGAGCGTAAGGGTGGGAAAATGATATTTTGGCCTAAATGACTTATGAAAGGATAATTTTATAATGATATTGTGTTGTGTAAACTAAAGTCAAATGTTAGATGAATTTATGTTGATTTTTCTCTATATAAAATGTGTTGGGTGGCTGTAACCCAATTATGACAGTAGATGTGCATTAGCAGTATTGAAAATTATTTTGTGTTTTTTTTGGCAAAATTGATAAGTGGTTTTAAGATCTTAAAATGCATAACTATTTTTATTTTTCCTATTCTATTGGATTTATTATATTCTTAATTTTAAAGGGATCTTTTAGGCCTTTCACACTTATATTATTTTTTAATTGCTTGGGATCCCAAATCTTAGAAATGACAATTTAAGAAGTTTAAATTATACTTACCATAATAGTACTTATTTATCTAATTTAATCTTTTCTACTATGGTAGTTATTTTAAAAGGTGAAATATTTTATAAGGCTATGTTTTATCATTTTTACCTTGGTAATGTTTCAAATTACATAATTGTTTTTTTTAAAAAGGATTAGTTAACTTCTCTTTAACATGGTAGACATTTTTCTACCATGATTGAGTTAATTGTTTTGGAAGAAAACTTTTAGAGTGTTACACCAGGTTTGGAGGTCAGTGATCAGAAACTAGAATCTTGACCTAAAAGAAGTCACTTAAAAATTTCTTGTATCTGCTAGATCTAGAATTTCTCACCCACCAGTACCAAACAATTATTATGGAATCACAATGCGTTTTGCTACAGTGGTGATGAAAGTAAGTGATTTGGTGGGAGATGGAGGATGTGGGGGGTTTGCTTTAGAGATGGTTACTTCATACATAGAAGAAAGGATTAAGAGGGACTTTAAAGCTTGGGTACAAATTCCAATGATGTGTTTGCTATGTGGCAAAATCGGGAAGATCATAGGCACCAACATCTCTTCAAGAGTCAAATTTTATGCCACTGACTTTGGCTGGGGATGGCCAATAGTGGTTCACGACGGTCTGACCATTGCAAAGTCATGGAAGCTAAGGGTTGATGCAGGAAAAGAAGGTAGCTTGGACATTGAGCTTTTTGCTTCCTTTGAATTGCTGGAAGCTTTGGGCAAAGACCCTGAGTTCAAGCATGCAATGGCACCACTATCACCACGGTGGCTACCAACAAAACTATCAAATAAAGTAGCATGGACTCGACTCTAACATTAGCATAAAGTAAAGGAGCTAGCACAAACCTGACATCAGTCACAAAATGTAATAATCCTTGGTACCAGTGGCAAAGACATGATCCTAGGTTCGAAGGGCAATGATGGAGCCAAGATCCTTGGTATAAGGAAGATCTTTCTGTCTCTTCCAAATTTACTATTTCTCTTTTCTTTTCTTTTTTCTTTATTTCTCAATTCAACCTTCAATTGTGGACTTGTAAGTGTAGCGAATTAGCAAAAGACATTTAACCAGTTTACTCTTGAGTCTTGGATCTTAGTTCATCATTATTTTTTTTCCTGATTAGTTCTTGAGCAATATTTGATGTACACAGATGTGTAACGAATTTCACAAGTGTACGAGTCATAAAAATAGCACGTGATAAATCAAAATTATTCCTACAGAGAATTAAGTTAATTGGTAATTAGCAATAAATTTTTCATTTTTGTTGAAGTCAAGTAAAACAAGATTTGAATTTGATTTTACAAATTAAGAAATTAACATGATACGAATACACAAAAATAAAAGTTATAACAACTGTAAATAATCAAGACAATATAGAGTGGCTAATCCCTCCTTCAATTCATAGAGCATGTAATTACCCAAATAAATTCACTTAATATTAAATTTTTAATTTAGAGTATTAATAGGAATAATTATTTTTGATTAATTATACCCCTCATTTGAATTAATATGCTATTTCTAACACAAATACCCAAGAGGCAAAAAGGCACACACTCACTCTAATGTAATTATATAGGTCTAATATGTATATTCCTATCCTATTGGCAAATTAGGAATAATTCTAATCCTAAGTTACTCAATCTAATGGTCTAATTCAGATTTTCCTCTTTCAAGGAAAAATCTAAACCTTAAATTCACACGCAATGGTGGCCAAGCATTGAATATACAAATAAGAACAAGATTAAGTAAACAAAACTAATTTAAACTTAAATAAATAGTTTAAATATTCTCTAATTTGAGAATCAGTTCATAGCTACCCTAAATTAAGAGAAAATCAACCACATATGGCTTCCATGACAACAAAATTAGCAATATATATATATATATATATAGCAAAGTAAAGAGAAGAAGGAGAAAAAAAGCTTAATTAGACTAGTCTTGAGTGAAACCCTTGATTTTTTACTAAACCCAAGCTTTTTCAACGCTCCTTTGGCTCTCCTTGGATGTTCTTCACTGCTGGAGGTGAAGAATGGTTGAACATGAGGTGTCCAAACCCTAAAAGTTTGTTGAGGATCAAAGCTGTGCATTTTACTAAAGTTGTGCTTTGTTGCAACAAACATAACTTGTTCAAATTTTCTTTTCAAATTTAATTCCTTTGAGTTGAGCTATAAAATTTTCATCTTCAAGCCCATAAATTGGGCCTTCCTACATGCACAAAATGCATAATTAAATATAGAAGTGGTCAACTATCTTTCAATCACATTTACATGTGCATTTTCACACATAGTCATTCACTTAATCATATTTTTGTTAAAAAAATTTAAATAAATGACTTCCAATTACATTTAAAACAATAAATTCAATAAAATATTGAAAGTCATCAAACCCTTACACTTGAATATTTGCTTGTCCTCAAGAAAAAGAAAATAACTATACAAAAATGGCAAAAGAAAATGTGAATGTTTCAAGGTCAAATACAATTCAAACTTTCAAGAACTCAATTAATTAGAAATCTTTCTTTCCGAACATAAATAATAGTAGCAAGGCAATTAATTAAGCAAAGATAAATTCTCATAGATTATTCCTCACTAGTTAAGTGCTTATGCTCTTGCTCAAGGTATCTAAGGGTTGTGTTTTACTCAATTTCACCTATTGTAATCTATTTACTGTATGCTTGTTTCTCATCTTAATCTCCACTACAATATACCATTGCACACACAAATCAAAAGGACTTTTGAAAGGTTGTAATATTTCAGGTAGGATCATGAAATGGAATTATTCAATGGGTCAAAATTACATAATCTAATTAGTGCTAAGCATATTAAATGAGAAGTAAGAAAATTGAAGGAGAAACCATAATTATTTACAAGAGGTATCAATGAAGATCAACATTTTTTTCACTTATTTTTTTTTTGTATTATTCATCATCATTTTTTTATTTTCAATATTCTTTTCTCTTCTTTCTTCATCTCCTCTTCTTTTGTTTCCTCTTTGCTTTTCTTTTGAACCACTTATGAAACTGCAACTAAATTCTAAGTCTTTCATTTTCTTTTGTGGATGTAATAGTTAGCAGTTACCAAAGTAGTAAATGAAAATAAAAATGGATGAAAAGTAGGTAAATCTTTGCAAAAGAGCTTATGATGATTTTTTTCTTTTAACAAGACCAAGGCTTAAATGGGTGAAACAATTGATTTATATGAAAAGGGATGGTTATTTGGCCAAACTAGCTCAGAAAATGATTGCCTTAATTATTTTTATGTATGTGAATGGCTATTACAAGTTTTAACAAAGATTCAAAATAAGTTCTAGAGATGGAATCACAATAAGTGTACTCCTTTTTAAAGGAAATAATGAACATTTAAGCTTAAAATTCTAACAAACTCTTTGGACAAACTATAGTCAATTATCCAAACTTATTTAATTGCCTATTTACTAAAATTCTAATAAGGTAGGATCAGCTTTTAATCAAATTTAATTGTTTCAAGCTCAAATCAATCAAACCTCAACCACATTCACAAGAAAAAAAAACAAACAAAATGTTTATGAGATTTTTAAAATTTTCAATTTTTTTTTATTTTTTTAAACTATGCACAAATATACACAATCAACTCTTAAAAAAATTTTAAGGACAAGCAAAATACCAAATGTAATAGAAAGTACTCCCTCCCCCACACTTAAATTAAACATTTTCCTCAATGTTTAAAGAAAGAAAACAAATAAAGAAATAGGGACACTGAAACTCTCCTAACCAACAGACGTGGTGAGTTGACAAACAGAAAGACTTTGATAGAGAGATAAGAATGAAATATCCTCAAGAGAATATGATACCTACTAATCACATCAAATAAATAAGTGGACAAGTTGGAAACAAAGAAGTTATATAAAGACCATCAAGAAGTAAGTTGTGAATTATCAGTTACAATCCCAAGAGAATAAGAGCCAAACCAAACATTCCAAGAAAAAAGGGAAAAAAAAATCTAACAACAAGAGAAAAGTCAGAATTCTATCATAATAAAAGGCTTAGGGCAACAACAAGAGATGCAAGAAAAGGAGCCAATGATGGAGCTCAAAGCTAAACATCTAGTACATTAATTCACTTCCATTCTTTTAATTAAATCTTGCATGGAATCCAATTATTGCTTCATCTAAATGGCTTAACTTTCATTTGATGGTACTTGATTAGAATTCTTTGATGTCTGCCATTTCTTAGCCATCCAATTATGAGTAAAAGCATGTCATCCATCAGTAGATAATAAGGTAAGTGCCACCAAATATCATAAAATAGTAGGGTTGATGACTAAATGAACAAGAGAAGAGTAAATCTCTAGGGTATAATGGAAAATAATAAAGGTGCAAGTAATAAAAAGAAAAAAATATTTTTTATTTTTAAATGTATGGGAAAGAACAAACACACACACACACACAAACAAAGCAACAAGTTTTTTTTAAAGTAATTTTCAATTTTTTTAAAGTAATTAAAACAAACAAGATAAAATATTTTTGAGGTGTTAGGTATTTAAACTAAATGCTAGAACTGTTCCTTAATGTGACCTATGGATGGTGTGAATGATAATGAAAGTACATGCAAATATTTTTTATACTACTCTCTTTTTTCCTTGAATGATTCATGTTTCCTTTAAATTCAGTTTGAAACATACTTTATTGGACATTTATGTTTAACACTAATTTTATATTAGATGAAAGTAAATGAATGATCCACCTCATAAATTTCTTATATTTATTTAGACAGTTTTTATGAAAGCAGAAAACAATTGGTTTTTGAACATTGCTCACACTTAGTCAATTTTACAATAAGAGAAACTTTTTTGTTAAGATTTTCTATTGATACATAAGACTTAATGTTGAAAACAGCAGATGCAGAGGCAAACAACGAGGTACTAATTGCTCGAGTCGTGTCCGGAAGAACACTGTCTTTAAGAACTATTCCGGTACACCTGGATGGTGGACCGGCAGTCCTCCAGGATTAAACGAGCACTTCCTGCGGCGGAGCAAGGGAACAGAACAGCAAAGACTATAAACAAGAACAGACGAACAGAAGATCAGAGGGAGGAGAGGATGAGAACGCTTGCTCTCTATTTTGTCCGCACCAATGTCTATTTATAGGTTAAGGAATGAGACACAAATGTTGGGTTATAATTACCGGTTAATGCTTCGATTATACACACATTAAACAACAAACGTTCATGGATTAATGCTTCAGTTACACGCCTTTAACAGCAAAAACGTGCACGTCCATTAATCCGAAAACATTCAGCGTTCAATCTGGAGATGTTTGGCAGACAAAACATTAACGCACATAATTCGGTTTCCAGAAAACTGCCAACGCCTCAAGTTCAACTTGAAAACTGCTAAATCAAAGGTTTTTCGGTTAAGCAAAAATAATTATTTATTTAACCATTTTTTGTAAAAATAACCCGGTAAAAGGAACCCAGTGCCTCTTGAACTCGTGCGCAGGGGGGTGAATCGGCTGATTTCAACTGCGATTGCCCTGAGTTGGCCTGTCTCATGTGCGCGAGGCCACTTCTCCTCCAAGCCCATTTTACCAGCCCACTTCATTCCTTAGTATATATACACTAGGAGATTTCTTCCTTTAGTTAATGTGGGACTTTGACACATACACACTTTTGACACACATACAACAATGCCCTACATGTGTCAAAAGGATTTATATTCGTCTGTGTTATTCACACAGAGGATAATCACTTTGAATTTGGTGTCTGTCAACTTGAACTAAACCTAGACTAATAAAACTTAGCACACAGAAAAATTAGTGTAACTTCATTATTGAACCAACA